TGACAAGCGACCACGAACACAAACGTAAACCCAGGGCTGCACGAATAACTTGCCGCAGGTGCGCTATGTGCTGGCCTCGCCTAAAAAAAGAGCACCGGTCATTGAGATAATAAGGCGCATTTGCGTACCAAACATTGAGACGAAGAGGGAGATAGAAAAGAGAGAAGAGAGGGTGAGAGGAGAGAGAAGGAGAGAAGATGAGATGGAGAGAAAGAAATTTGCGAGTTGCATTTGACCTCAGGGCCGGCCGTACCACTGGCCTTTATAGATGTTCGCCTTAGGGTGCCAGGATCAGGGGAGCTGCTGCACTGGTTAGTTCTGGGGGGAAAAATCGTTTTTGTACCGTGGTGCTTATCCCTAATTTCGGCCTTGATGTAACAATATTCATTTAAATTAAGTAAATGTAACACCCTTTTCACCCCGGTTAAAGCGTTTCATTTTCCTCTTAAACGATGGCGGCGCTGTAAGTGGATGATTAATATGGGGGTGTATTGTTGGCTTATCTGGCGCCGTAGCTCCAGCCAAAGTGCGATGTGAGGTGGGAGGAAGAGGTGAGGGTGCATCCAGTTACGGCGCTGTTGTTTGTTTTTTTTTTTTTTTTTTGTTTTTTTTTTTAGCATCTGTGCTAGCTGCTCTGAACGGATATAGAAGAAGATGTGATTCGTACGATAATGTGGAGGGAGAGTCCTCTCCAGCAGACGTGAGAGGGCTGATAACTACAGCTCAGTGAGGTTAAAGGCTCTGTAGTGTTTAGATAGTTCACGTGTAGTCTAAGTTGCAAACGGTTTCGGTCAAATTTATTAAACACATATTTCCAGGCACTGCTCCTTTAATAGATTATGGGATTAAACAGGTTTGAAATAATTTCGAATGTATGACTATAGGACAGTTAACAAAATATCCTTTAAACTGGGGAGAGCATAACAAGAAATGCTTAGAATAAAATAAATAAACTGTTAATAGGTCAAATAAGTATATGATATTTGAACAACACAAATAAAATAAGCTTACCATTAATTTGTTATTGGTAGGTAGGTATTCCGTGGCTTCTTTTATTATGTTCACCAGCTGCTTGACTGTGGATGCAGCAGCAAGGCTAAGTCGCAGACTCAGACGCAGCAGAGAGAAGTAGTAGCCGTACATACTCAGGCTGACCATGTCTGACAGAGAGGAAGACAGGGAGGAGAAGCGTCAGATGGGTGAGTGATGACGCTTGTAGGATGGATCTGTCGTGCTAATGTTGTCCTTGTGTTCAGCCTCTGCATGGTGTGTTCTGCCCCCCTCTGTGGTCACCCTCTGCATGCTGTTCAGTTGCCGTGTGTGGCAACAATAAAGTCAGATCAAGACCCCCTCAAAAAGTTACGGTTTATTTCATTTTAAGGATGAGCACCAAGCAACATCTCCAGGTACTCCTTTGAGAACCAGGGCAAAAAAGTTATGTGCACCCCTGACTATAACACCCCCTTGCTGCTAAATACAAACCAACTTTGTGCAATATGTGCAATATATATATGCCATTAATAACTGTGTAATTTATACCTGGCTGCTAAACCCTTGTTACTGTGACAAGGTATCTATCTTGTATTTTGTAGATTGTGTAACTTCCTGCTGTTAAATACCGTCAAACTATGTGCAATATGTGCTTTATGTGCAATATATACTTTATATACATATGCCATCTTTAATAACTGTAACATATCGACCGGGCTGCTAAATCCTAAGAACTGCTACAGGATTTAATTTGTAGATTTGATTTGTTTTTTATCTATATTTTTGAAAATTATGTAACTTTTTTAGTTTTTATCTTTTTTTAGCATATTGTTTATTGTTTATCACTCATAATTTGGCGGGACTTGAAGAATCCCCGAGAAGATCCAGAATATGGTCAACATTGAAGGGGAGATTAATGGTTATCAAAGTACAAATATCCAAAATCAGTTCAGTAACGGTTTTCAAGTGGACAATATTTACTCAAATTGATGGGTTTGGATGATGGGGGAAATTCGTGTCACAGACTCTTTAAGCCTTCACTACTCAACTACAGATGCACTCATGGTAAACATTCTGACACTGATGCCACAAAGAAATGCTGAACCTAACTTCTACAGACTAGCAATCACAAATCCCAGGTGTGTGTTTTCCAGACGTCACATGTGATAAATGTTGACTTGAGCACAAATTCTGTTTTTGGTATCTAAACCGCTGAAATTCCAACATGAAATACCCAGACAGTTAAATAGTTTTGCTTCGCTGCGCCGCCCTCGCTCAGTCGTTATTTTTTTCGCTTTCTCCGCTATGCTTGATTTGAACAGCTTTGTCACAATGATCTTGTTTGGGTGTCTGCACAGATTTGTTTTGTCTAAAGTAGTGGTTATCTCACACACACACACACACGCACGCACGCACGCACGCACGCACGCACGCACGCACACACACACACACACATGCAGAGACACAAAAGGGAGGGCGAGTTGGTTCATGTGAGTGAGTCTCTGAGGAAGAACAGCTCTTTTCAAAGCCAGGTGTTTCTGCTGTTTCCGGGGAAGCGGCTGAATCTTGAGTCTTGCTCCATAGAAACTAAATGGTGAAACAGAGGATGTACAGTAATAAAGGATTCACATATTTGTTTTGTTGATGAGCCTTTTGAAGGCACAGTGTTGATGGACAGACGGAGAGTCGAGGATATGAACCAATAAAATCCTCATCTCTTTCAGAATGTATGTAATGAGTCCGAAGAAAACATTATGTAAAGAAGTATGTCTTAAACTTAGATAATAGTGTTGTGTATAGAGTAGTGCAATGATGACGTATTGTTGTACGTCGACCCGGAAGTTAGTATCACAAGTTCTCCCTCAACAAAAAGCAATGGGATCTTTTCCATTGGGTTTTGGAGTATTGCAGAAAATAAGATCTGTGGCATACACACATTTATGATATTTACATGTAATTGAATCAGGATATCTCCACAATCTTTGAAATGCAATAAAGACAAAAGCTAACGGTATAGCGCTATACACAGACTACAGGAGCAGGGTCACATGACTTCACGTCCCCAATGCAGAGCAAAGAGCGGCTAATGTTTGGCATGAGACGTTTAGTAATCTCATATAGTCACTAACCTCTGTTTTTAATACACAATATACTGCACTCTAAAAACAAATGCCTTGGCTCAACAAATGAAATCAACGCAACAGTTTGCATCGATGTTTATTGAGTTAAGACAACTTCTAATGAAATTGTCTTAAAGCAACAAAGTTAGGGGAGAAGGCTTTTCCTCTACAATCAGAGGTGTTTTTAATTACCACTAACTTAATAATTGGTATTATAAACACAAGTTTTGAAGTTGATTACTCAAAAGATTAAGTTGTTCCGACTAGTTTTACCACATGATTTAAAAGGAATTTCAAGTTGTATGTACTTAATTACCCTCATTCGGGATATACGTTTTTAAGTTGATTACTCCAAAAATTAAGTTGTTCCAACTTGTTTTACCGCATGATTTAAAAGGAATTTTAAGTTGTATGTACTTAATTACCATCATTGTGAACACACGTTTTTAAGTTGACAACCATTTATAAATTAAGTTGCTCCAAATATATTGTATTCAATAGTTATTCTTCTTAGCTTTTTCATGTTTTTGCCTTTAAAGAAAGAAATTAATTGATTCCACAACAAAAATATTAGGCAATTCACTTTTTATTTTGANGAAAACTCGTAAACCGCCGGAATAAAGCATTGTGTGGTAAAACGGAAAGACCATTTATATCAAGGATTTACTCCAAGATGGACATTAATATTCTACACTAAATGAATTTTAAGGAAGATTAAAGTTCTTTAGAATGGGCGTGTATAAGTGAACAAAGATAACCGTCTCGGAATAGATGAATAAA